AAAATACACTTTTAAAGCCGTTAAATACATTTTGTTGTGTGATTGGAGTCTCTAGGAGTGCAGAAAAGTTGAACTTAGTCTCTCCTGGTGCAGCGTAGATAGATTTATATTTTGTCTGGGTCCTTTTCTTCAGTCCGTTCAGTTTTCTCTATTCCTTGAACAATTATTTAACATTGTTTGCTTTGGAACTGCTAAAAAAAAAAGGTCGTGGGCTTCCAGCTTACTAATTTTGCAAATCTGTGGCTCTGCAGGTTCGTCGTCTTCTTTCTCCTCTCGCTCTGGGTCAGACTGTCTCCAATATGTACGGCTGGATGGACAAGTCTTCTGTTGTTGACATCTTTTAATGAATTTGCAAACAAAAGGTTTCCGCTCAGCTAGGTAATTGTATCTCTACTATAAAACTACAAAAATGGTCGAACAGGGTGGAGTGGACAATGATCATGAGACCTGGAGAAGGGCGGGGTGTGAATGGCCTTATTTGCATTTAAAGAGCCAGCACCAAAACGAGTCGCTCTCGGATGCACCTCAGAACAGAGGAGCCTGTGGAGCTACATTAACAAGGAAATGTGAAAAGGGAGGATTTAAAAGCATGATCTTGTGCAATCCGTTAGTACTTAGAAATTGTGTAGGTGATCTGTCTCAGCTGCCACCACACCAACCTTTGGTCAGTTTCTGTAAATTTGACTCACTTATAGTAATTTATGTTTTTAAAGTCAGTTGCAGCCATCTTCAACTGGGCGGCAATATATAAAAAGAGCAGCATGTTCATGCCGTGGTTAGCACTTTCATCTGACAGAAAGAACATTTCTGTCCTTTCTTCGGATGCTCCGGTTTCTTCCCATAATTAAAAACAAACTTGATATCATCACATCTATTCCAAACAGTGAAAGTTTAGGTTAGGCCTGCTCTCTGTGTCCCTGTGAAGGATTAGCAAACATTCCATTGTGCACCCTGTCTCTGAAAAGCTCCAGCTGCCCCCTGAAAGGACCAGGATGAAGAAAAGATGGATAAACAACTTGGAGGCATTTGAAATTTCACAGCTACAATATTAAAGTTTAAAGTTGACAAATGATTCAGTGGATTAAAAAAAAAGATCAATATGTCTCTTACTGTGCAGTTGTTTGCATTTATTACGCAAGTCTACTTTCAAATAAATAATAGAAGAGCAAATTCTTCATTCAGACGCTCAGAAATTTACGTCGTCTGTCTTTCCAAGCAGCGTCTCTCTCCGGTTACTGCCGAGGCCACCAGATATCCTCCAGGAAGAGTGATGTCAGAAACACCTGTGTGCAAATGATGAGCGCCACGTAATTGACGACAAAACGGTTCAAGTCCTTTAGGCTCGAGCGAAAAGAGACGCACTCTCCGATCTTATCATGGAAAAGGTCGTCATTTGCCCCGTTGATGAAGGGCTGCGTGAGCACCAACCTTCAAAAACACATGCTTACACTGATGTGAGTTCATATTTGCATCACTGAGTTTATTGTTGTGTGTGTGGGAGGGGTGCAGATTGCTCGAACATATGCAAACACATGTACAAAAGCAGCCTGTCCTCGGCTGCTTCATTTCAGCGTGTTTACTTCCAACTCCCCTTTTGAGACACTCTGTGCTCCCTCTCTCCTCACATTATTCACCCCTGCATGTATGAATGAAGCATCTGCTGGGTCCAAGTCTCTGCTTCTGCTCTTGAGCTTTTTTGGGGGGGGAGGCTGTCAGGAGCATGGGGAATGTGGTGGGAGTACAAGCGTCATGTGCGTAACACACAGATTCACAAACGTGTTCTAGAATCCCAAATCATCTGTTCTTGTACCTGGCAGGATGGCGAGGCTGTGAATGTAATGTAGATGGGATAGCTTGCTCAGCAACATACTCTGTGGAATACTGAGAACTAAAAAAAAAAGTCTTGGCTAAAGCGATTATTCAGGTCTTGTGAAGTGGGGCTCAATAAAAAGGTTATGAACAATTAATATCTTACCTGCTGCTCTTCAAACTGCATCAGCTGTAGCACTTCCTGCCCACTTATTGGAGAACCTCCAGTAGGAATATTCTACTAATTCTAATTGAATGTTTTGTTTTTGAAATGAACCACACAAAAAAACTTTATGTTCAATCAAACAACAACAAAATAAATAAATAAATAAATAAATAAATAGAGCTATTAATCAATGTCGTGAAACATTGATTTGATTTGATTTAATTTATTGATTCAACAGGAAAAGATTACTAAAAATCAAACCTGACTCAGCATAATTGCTGTTTTACAGCAGGTTCCTGTTCTGCAGCACATAAAACACTCAGAAATACAGCATCACATTCACATTATTATAACACCATAGACACAAAGACAAACAAGCATGCAAGAATGCAACAAGCAAGCAAACGTGTTTAATTTTGAACCACTGACCACTTTCCCTGAACTGGTGACTCATAACTTTTTCTGTGATTGTATCATTTAACTAAAAAAAAGGAGCTTAGACTTCTAAACTTTCCCAGTACTGCAGGTTTACCATCCCTGCTGTCACCTGAGCTGTAGCACGTTTTGACTAAAATTCAGACCAGTGTGTATTTACCAAAACGGCACGTTTCCACACCTTCAATCACAAAGAGGTGGATTTATTACATTGTGTATGTGAAAGTGAAATGACAGAAGAGAAACTAGTCAAAAGGTGGCATTATCAAATTACAGTCGTTCCCACCCTTTTTATTGAATACGAAGAACAAAGTATAGTTCACAAAGAGTGCTGTCGTCATACAAACTACAGTACAGTTTGTTATGAGTTTGTTTGTTACAAGAGATTGCTTGACGCACAGTCTGTATTTTGTTTTTTTGTTTTCATTTTTTCTGTAGGCAAATTGCCTCCCATTTCAACAACCCCTTCCTTTAAGGACATAGGTATTTATCGAGGGATACAGATGTGAAGGAATCACTTTAGAGTTTATACAGTTTGCACGAGATGTGTGACTCTATTTTTGCTGATTGTCTGCTCTCTTTTTTAATAATTAGGGGTCACAATTTTTTGTTGACAATACGAGAGGGCCACATAATGCTGCACACATACCCAAATGTAATAAAACTGCAATTTAATTTTTATGCATATATACACGGATATGTTTATTAAACCAACATACAATGCAGTAACTTAACATATGTCATGCTGAAATGCATGTAAGCCAACATTTGTTTAATAAAAATGAAAAAAATTTGAAGCAAACAAAAAATAAACACTTGTTTATTTTAGTGAGCTGAAGTGCAATGTCCTAAGATGCCTTGAGTGCAAACTCCTGTGTGGTTGTGGTTCTGGTAAAAAGTCACTGTTTATGTACTTGTAACTTCAGTTTACCTCTTGTATTTAACTTTAAGTAATGTGTTGCGGTGGCCTAACCCTGGCTTATATTGAAATCCTCCATGGCAGAGGTTTCTGAGCTCTGACCCAATAAATAAATAAATAAATAAATAAATAAATAAATAAATAAATAAATAAATATTTTTTCTACTTTTTGAGGTTGGATGGCTTTTTGGTGGGCCAGAGAGAAGTCACCTCATGTGGCCCACAGGCCACTTGTTGTCTATCCCTGCTCTTGTGTTTTTTTTTTAAGAAAGATGAAGTGTATAGTGTACTTTTGTGCAACTGAAATTTGTGCTGTGTAGTTAATATCTTACCTGCTGCAGACAGCAGTCAGTGATTTCAGTTGAGAGGTTTGCATTGGTGAATGAGACTAAAAGCTTATAGGTGGAGTCTCAAATTTCTCTCATTTACCAAAATGAGTTTACGCTGACTTATGTCTGTAGCAGGCAAGATATTGACTACTCAGAGCAAACAACCTCACCTATAAATTAACTATCATTTTAGGGACTTTAATGTAATTATGTTTCCTTCTAGTGTGTTGTCTTTAGGCTCATGGTTTACAGTCTCAAGCTCTTTGCTCTGGCTTTTTACCTACTATTCTTCCCCAAGGGGTGATTTAAGTAATTAGAACACTTTCACTAAAGCTTTGTTTATCCTAGCAATAAATAAAAGAAACAAAACAAAACAAAACAAAAAAAAAAAACTAGAAGAAATGTGCCACTTTTTTGTTATCCACAAAAAATAGCCTCTAAGCTGAGAAAAAGTGCTTCATCTTGTTTCAGCAGAAACACATCACTGCTTTAATCAGTTCAAGTCCTCGAGCTGAGGTTTGTTCTTGACCCCTATGAACAGCACCATTTTGATGAACAAGGGATAATCAAGTTGCACATGAAAGAAAAAAAAATATTATCCCCATTCCCTATCATAAAAAAGACAGAATATATCTTATCCAGTGCCCATAATGTACTTTTATCACAACTTATCATGCTTGGCTTGATAAGTCTGGTTTAGTGCTTGACCTCTCTCAAAGAACAGTGCTGAAGCATGACTGAATATAGCTACAGTGTGTGGGTATTTACATAACCAGTGCACGCTGTAAAATATGTCACATGGGCAGGGTCAGCAGGTTTAGGCCAAATTTGTTGTTTCAAATACTATTTTACAGTGAATGAAAAGATCTTCTTGCTGTGTGGATTCTGATTGTTTATATTGGACTCAAAGTACTACTTTTGTATACTTGGTACCGTTTTAACTACCGTAGTCATGAATCAAAACATTCCAATCATAAAGAAGAAAGTGATATGGACTTTGGTTTTCTTAATTGTTACACTTCAAGATATTTAACTTTATTGGCAAAACTATTACTTACTGTACTTTAAACTTTCTGTCTACTGTGATGGGGACAACTAGCTGAAACCACACTAAATTTTAACTCAGTATTTGTAAAAGCTGATCAAGTTACAGCTATTCTTTGTATTTGCTCATGTTGGTTATCTGTGGCAGTCGTCTTGTATTGAGTTGACCCCAAATGCTTATCAGTTCTAGAAGTACATCTAAAGATGACTTTCTGAGAGTTTCATCAAAATCCATTCACTGGTTCCTGATATATTTTGCTAACAGACGAACAAGCATACACACACACTCACACAGAAGTACAGAATACAATATTTATTGACAATGTTACACAATCTCCATCCTCAGCAGCAGTCGTTTTGCTCGTGGGGCACATCGTTTGATCTCTGGCTAAACGTCTACAGAAAATACAAACCAACAGAACAAAATATACATTCAGAAAATTTATAAGAACTTTACAAAAAAAAAAAAAAAACAAAGGAAAAAAAACATTTAGTAAAACATTTTTATGTGAACAGTTGTAGAGTAAAAACAATTTACAGTATCAAACATCTATATGAAAATTATCTATTTAAAAAAAACAGTTTTAGTGCAAAGACTTTATTTGTTTACAATATAAAAATACTGTTTTGTAATTTCTCTTTCTGATAAGAACAAACAGAGGACATCAGTGTGAAGGACAAAGGTTAGAGGTGCGTGTCTGCGATTGGGATTCGTCGGAGCTCGACGATTTGGGAGTTGGCGACGCTCCCACCGTCGTGGCTTCCAGGGATGGATTCATTATCGCTGACATTAAGACCGGTTCCTGAAACAGGAATAAAACATGATGAGGTTTCCCTTTGTCAGATAAATGTGTCCCGTTTTTGCCGTTGTGGTGTTATGTCATCAAGCCTTCATTAAGATAGCGTACTGTACTTTACTGTATCTGAGCACGTTTAGCTACAGGAGGCTCTAAAGCTAAATGACTCATATGTCAGATAATGAGTCACTAAGTGGGCCTGTTGGCAAAACACTCACATACTCAGTAAACAGTAAACATAGTTATGATACACACTAACAGTTACAAATGAAATGCCCAAATTTTCTGTAACTGTGAATTCATTTACCCAAAGCACAACTGGGCTACTACGTTTAAACAAAAACACAATGTCACTGCCATCCACAACTAAAAGGTCAGTTCAGGCAATACTGTACTGCACATGTGTCAAACACACCCATGTGGAC